AAAGCAAGTCGATGGCAATATAACACAGTGGTGAAGGTGATAGACTGGGATCAAATACAGGTGCAACTGTGTGGTCTCAAGCAAATGATTTATCTTCTCTGTGCCTCAGTTTCTTTGGCTGTACAAGGGAGATGATAATGATGGTAATTTTCCTTATAGGCTTCTTGTGACATCAAATGGCTTTAAAGAGTACACAACAATGTCTGGCAAATAATCAATGTTCATTAAGTTTTGGTTGTTACTATTATTTACTGGTGCCACAGTAAACATTAAAAAAAAATACAAAACTTAAACTTGATTAAATCACCCCCTCACTTTAAAATGAATCAATTCTATAACATGGCAGAAAAGGTCCTCCAGCTTATGTTCCCTACCTTCTCCTTCAACTCAATCTCCTGGGGTTCACATTTCACTCAACTTCACACTCCAGTCATTTGGTGCATACTATGCATTTGTAAATTCCTGAAACTCTGTGCCTGGTATACTCTTACCCTTCTTCTATGCTACATAAACTCCTATTCATCCCCTATTCATCTCTCAAAGCCCCTATATTGTCTGTAAAGTCTGACATTTTTCTACTACCCTCAAATAGAAAAAATTACTACTTTCTATATAACATACATAATACTTACCTTGCACATATTTGTTATAAACATATGTGTGTATACATACATACACACATACATCATGCTGTATTGCATTTCTATATTTGCACATCTGTCTCTTTTTCTAGAATATGAGTTCTGACTTAGCTCAGGGTAGACAGAACCTGCCATATAATGGGCTCCTAGGACATTAACATTTCACATTCCCATGTGCCTCGTAATTTACAAAGTAACATCTGTAGCAGACAGTCTCCAAAGATGGCCATCAGTATCTCCCATCCCTATATCCCTATATGTGCATGCTGCTCCATCTGTCAAGAGATAGGGTTCTGTCTCCTCCCCTCTTGAATTCTGGCAAGCCTTGTGTCTGCTATGAGCAAAAGAATGTGGTGAAAGTAACATTTTAGAACATTCAAATCTAAGTCTTAGAGAACTGGCAGCTTCTAATTTCCCCCTTTTTAAAACCAGCCACCATATAAAAAGCCCAATCACACCAAGACCTCATGCTTCAAGGAAGCAAGAGTCTATTAACCAAGGGCCTATGGAAGCTCTTCATCTTCCTCATCATCACCACCCAAGGGACAAAGCCACACTGTTTCAGAGCCTGTCTGTTCCCTCCTTTGAGTAGGATGAACAACTGTCACTCTATTTGCCTGGGATGTGCCTGGGATATTTATAATTTTAGACAGAAAGTCTCACATACCAGGAACCCATCAGCCCTGGGCAATCTGTGACAGTTACCTACCCATTTCAGGAGACCTTCCATGTGACTATCCTCTCCTAGCTCTCTGGGATGAGCCATTCAACTGTTACCCCTAGAGGTCCCTGGGTTGGAAAAGGACATTTATTACCTCTAAGGCCAATTTCCTCATAGGCCAAAGAATCACTCTTTATTCTATTTCCATCTCCAATCATTCCCAGTCACATGGTCTAGTCGAGCTTGCCAGAGGTTATACAATGAAACCAACTAATACAATGAAGACTATCCCAAAGTTATGTAACATAAATTCCCTCTAATTACTCAATTTCCAGTGAAATGAAAGCCTGAATGTTAAACCCCACACAAAGTCCCCTTTTAAAGCTCAAAGTACAAAAAATTAAATTGCATAAAATGAAAAAATCCTCTCCTCTCCAATGTCTGCATCTGCTCAAGCCCAGCCAGATGGTATCTAGGCTCCTTCTGCATCTCCTGAACTGGCTTCCTCAGGACTTGAGAAAGCTCCTCACCTCCTAAGTTGCAGGACTTCAGCTCTGCCACCACCGTCCCCTATAAAACCACCACAAGAAAATCTGCCCACTGTACCTGTTGTTACATAGCTCAGCGATCTCCTCAGAACCCACCAAGTAAAAAACTCAGACACGCGATGCCGCTGTCAACCGCAAACCACCACAGAGATATGGCATGATCTGGGAGCGGAAGGCTGAGAGAAAATAATTAATAAATCAAGGTGGGAACTTGAAAGGTAGTTTTTCTTCCCAGCCCTATGAGAGATGGAAAGAATTATCTCTGGGGCCTTGTCTTAGCTTATAATCATCCAATGCCAATGTCCAGGTAAGACAACTATTCATTTCCTGTCCTCAGAGTTCCATAACATTTCTCCTTACATTTCAACTAGTTTCTGTGAGTTTCCATTCCCTGAAGCCAAAGAACTTTGACTAAAATGCCACGCTTAAGAAACTGCTTATTAGGGAAGATACTTTTTTGTACACTAAAGATCACATTCATTTGATTCTCTGAAATATCATCTTACACAGATTGAAGAAGCTCTATCAATAAAGTGCACATTAAATACAGTAGGAAAATGAGTTCTGAGAACATAACTGGGTAGATAAGAAGCATGAACAGAATTTTTTAAATTTTAATGACTAAATTGCATTTTTACTCATTTATCAACTATTTAAAATATTAACACTGTGGGATCTCTAACAGCATTTCTATTTTAGGGGGACACTTCCACAGACATGTATCATGGCATGATTTAAGATTTATGACATTTCAGAATGCTCAGAAATATATCTGCACAGAATTACAGTCCTTACTATGGTTCCCAAACTGCAAATATGTGAAATAGATGAATACACAACAGATGGATCAAAGGACATTGGATGTCTTTTTAAAAAATAAAATAAAACCCTAGATGTTTCAAGAATGGTTGTGAAGAGAGAATTTCCATCTTTGAGTGGGCTAGGGAAGCTAGATGTGATAACCATGGTGCTTGTGCCCAAAATTTACCATTCCTGTGGCTGTCTCTCATGAAGAACAACTGCCACCACCGTGGTAGCCTAGGGAAGTAGAGAGGTCATTTCTCGCTCCCGCCCCATTTCACTTTCTGGTCCAAGTGTGGACACATGAGCCTTCCCTTAAGAGTCTATACTACAGCTTGAGATCAAACTGCAATGTTTAAACATGACTTTTCTAAAGGTTCAGGAATAACAAAAGGAGAGGAAATGCAGATGTAAGCTGGAGTACTCCCTATCCCTTTGTTCTAGAAGAAATTCCTTTAAACCACCTGTTCTGCCCCCTCCACCACCAATTCCCATGGCCCCCTGAGAAATCCAGAAATTTGTCAGGATCCCTTCCGCGCTGGGTATCCTGTTCACAGATGCTGTCTCTGTCTCTCCATCAAACAAAATAGTGCACAAGAAATCAACATCCATTCACATACCCCAAAAAGGACTGTGCACACGCATGCACACACACACACACACACACATGCACATGCACAACACAGAACCATACAATATGAACTCTACTAAAAATTTTGTGTAAGAACCAAGAGGAAGTGAGGTCTTATATCACATATATCAAACAAGTGAAAATTCCCTTCTTGAACATTTGCTGTCCCCAAGTGACCTTCTCACTTTTGGCCCCCAGCCATCTCTCCCTCTCGCCCTGTCTCCTCAGATCCTCTCTCATCTCTCTGTCCTTCTCTCGGGACACTCATCCCTTTTTCCCTTCAGGCCCCATGCCAGCTCCTTTCCTTTTCTTACACTTAGCAGTTTGGCAACCATCTTCTGCTACCCAAATGTGCCCTTGGGATCTCACCCTCCTCCACCAGAAATTTCCCAAATAATTTTTTCCACATAGGTATGGTGTATTTCTAAGAATAATTCTGCTGAATAACACTTTATCTGTCTTTGCACAGAAATGAAACTCAGAGAATGATAGAAAACAGAGAATCTACTTTACAAACATGACCCGCCTTCCATGGTCATAGACCTTATCCTAGCCGAGCTGCAGGCCTGCCCTTCAGTGGTGGGCATCCTATGGAAACCACCAGCATCCAGAGGCACAAGTTCCTTAACGTCTAGACCCAAGGGACTAAAACTAGGATGAAGAAGCTAGGATGATGAAGACCCATCAACTAGGATGATGAAGACCCATTTTTTAGTATCTGGTTTTCTATCTAAGGATTCATCTATTATTCATTTGACTCAGGACCTCTCCTTTCTAAGAAAGCCACACCTTCCCATGTGGGCATGACCTCACCTAGTAGCCTATGGTCACATGATAGGCACAGCATGGGGACCATCTTCGTGGGCATGCAACCTGTGCAGTCACTCAAGGCCCCAGAAGGGCCCCACACTTGGTTTAATGTTCTATAGTCAACGTGTGCCCCGAGTTTCCATTTTACACTGGCCCCCAATTTATGTAGCTGTTATGTATGCCCCTTATATTTATATAAGAGGTACACACACAGAGAACAGGGACCTTTTCCTCACAATGGCCTTAGAAGCAGCAGCAGAAATGATCTCAGCAGTCATTACATATAATCTTCTTCATCAGATGGGAAAATGGAATCCCAGAGATGTGAAGTGAGCAGTCCCCAGTCTCATGGCTCATTGGCGAGACAGTCGGTTCTTTTTTCGACTCCAGGGGGGGTCCAGCCTCATTATCTTGTAGCTTCAGAGGTGACACCCACCTTACTTTCTATGTGAACAATGGCTGGAGAAATGCATTCAGTTTCCAGCCCACCCCCAGGCCTCCAGGGCACACCCCACCTTCCCAGGCCTTGTTTCTCTTTCCCATGTCCACTGGGAACTTGCACATGGGCAAAGAAAAAGACAACCTTGTCAAAAGAAGTCCTCAGGAACAGGTGCTTAGAGAACTAGGAAGGTTGCTAAATGGTGAAAGAAACCAGAAATTCATAAAGAAAAGAAGGCTCAGAGAACATTTTTTTTTGCTATAAATTGGATTTCATAAAGCCGGCAGGAAGATGAAAACGCTAGAAAGGCAGGGCTGGAGTGGGTGGCTGACAGCTGTGGGCAGCTGGCGTGGAGAGAAAGAATAGGGAGACCATTAATGCACAGCAGCAGGAAAGGGACCTGGAAATAATGAACGGAAAACCCCACGGAGGAACGAGGTGACACAACCAGAGACACATAATGGGCCAGTAACAGTTACTCAGTGCCTTTATTCTCTGCTAAAGGAGTTTTAATTTGCTGCTAAGAATTGTGATGTGCTAACATGTGCTGCCTGAGGAAAGGAACAGACTGTTCAAATCTCAAGGTCATTGGAGCTGGGTTTTGAGGCTTCTCCAAACAGGGCATATCTGAGTCCACCTCTTGTCTCAGGGTAAACTTGGGGCAGGAGGTTTGGTTGAGGAAAGACCTGCCTCTGAGAACAATCTTCCTGTATTCATGCATGTGCAGTCATTTTTCAGCCCCTGTGCATGCTTGGTGGTGTTTGGGAATTCTCTTTCTGTTGGAAGATTAAAAGGAAAAAGGAAAAAAAAAAAAAAAACCATACAAACTACAACCCAGATTAAAGCTGAGCCCCTGGGGGTAGTATCAGATGGGAAATATGAATTTAGCGAAAAAGCATCTGAACATTTGGAGTAAATTTGAAAACAGAACCATCTGTTACATAATCGGATCCAGTAGACTCCACACTTTGTACAACCAGCTGCTGTCAAATAGGAGATTATGAAACCTTGAAATAAATGCTCCACTAAGCCCACTTTCTTGTTTCAGGGTTAACTTGGGGCAGAGCTACAAGACTGCAGGGATGAAACTCTGGAATCCTCTTAGAGAAGCTTTCCTTCCAGGCGTCCCTCTTCTTTTCAATGCGATCATCCGTGGTAGACGTAGAAGCACTCCAAGCCTGAGATGTGAGGTTGGAAGAGGGACATATGAAGCCAGTCCTGTAGTGTCCCATCTCTGTAAGTGTCTCTCCATCCACCTCCACATTCTCTGCTCCTCCATGGCCCAGCATAGCTGGGTAATCTCAGGAAAAAAAAAAACAAATCATAGGAAGAGAAGTAACAGCCAGGATTGAAATGGATGTAACATTCTAGAGCGTTTTTCCTTTTTTTTTTTTTTTTTATACTTCTGGCTTTGTCTACAGACAGGAAGAGGAGTTATTGGGGTAGAAGAGCTGTCAATAGATAGTCTCAAAGAAAAGACAAGTAGGACAGAAATTAGAACATTCTTCCTACTTCTCAGCTTTTGTTATTTCTTTGGTCCACCTCTAGCCCTCAATGTTTTTGAAAACTCCTGTTCTGAGCAGGTCTTGCTCTCTTTAATGATGGAACTCCTGAGTGTGGACAAATACAAGGTTCCTGTGGACCACAGTCTCATGAGACAGCACAGACCTATGAGAGTGAGGTACAGAGTTTGATCCAAGAGCTTCTTTATCTGGTAAAAACCTCAAAGCCAGTCTCAGCACCTCTCTTTCTCATTGCACATGTCTACTCCATCAGCAAGTTATTTGGCCTCTATCCCCAAGACAGGTCTCAAGCTTCTCTTCACCCCACCCCCACCTGGATGACTGTCCCCTATCTGGTCTTACCCTGCTCACTCTTGCTCCATCTCAATCCTGTCTCTATCCAGCAGCAGAAGAAGCCATTGGGAAGCTTAATTCAAATGATGTCCTGCTTCAAACCCTGCAATGGCTTCCTGCACCCAGAGTAAAGTCAAACTCTACCACATCTTATGTGACCTGGACCCTGCCCAGCGCAGACTCATTCACTGTCACTGTTCCCCTCACTCCCAACACTGCGGAGGCACTGGCCTTCTTGCTTCTTGACTAGAGAAGACTGGTTCCCAGCTAAGGGTCTTGGTACTGGTCATCTCTATGCCTGGAATATTCCCTTCCTGAACATAGTGTCTCTTCTTATAGCTCCCTACTTCCCACTCTGACCACCCGTGTGAAGTAGCTGCCACTCTCTCCTCATCACCCCTGTTTTCTTCACAGTACTTAACATAATCTAAAAGTAGATAGCTTATTTATTTATTTATTTATTGCCTGTCTTCACTCACTAAAATGCAGCCCCATTAAGCCTGGGAATGTTTCCAAATGATTCATTTCTGTGCCCAGATCAGTGCTTTAAAATACTTGTGAAATGAATGGATCCTGGCTGGGGATTCCATGGAGAGTTTTAACATATTAAGGACATCCTATGTATTTAATGCATTAAGGACACGATACATTCTATCTCTTTTCAAGGCTTCAAGTTCAGTGATATTTGATAGAAAAAATAAGACCTGGTGTTTGATAGATCAGTAGGGGGACTATAGTCTACAGTAACGTATATTTCAAAATAGCAAGAAGAGAATAATTTGAATGTTTCTAGCATAAACAAAAGATGAATAAAGTGGTGAATATCCCAATTACACAGATTTGATCTTTATAAATTATATGAATATTAATTATCATATGTACCCTGAAAATAAGTACATCTATTAGGTATCAATAAAAATTTTTTGTTTTAAAAACTTCTGTGGATTTCAGAGCATCGTTTGAAAATTTGAGTCAATATACAGCTTTTATTTGACAATAATATGCATGTTTATCAATGGAAATGAGTTGCCTGGACAGGGTACTCCTTGTGGAGCCCATTTTCCCAGTGGCATGAAATTACGAGTGCAGCAACCACTGCTGAGCTTGTTTGTGATGTGCCTAACCATTTCCAAAGTGCATCCGACCAACACCACCCTTCACCCCTTTCACAGCAGCCCTCTGTAGTCATCAGGAGAAGAATGAATTCCATGCCACCAGTGGGGAGACTGAGGCTCCGTGACATTAGCTGGCTTCCAGCAAGGGTTCAGAGACGAGGAGGGAACCTCAGCTCAAGCCTCTGGCTTCCCACTCTGCTGGGCTGACTCTCATTATCTCATTTGTTGCTCACAATATCCCTGGGAGGTCGGGAGGGCAGGATGGTAATCCCTGTGACATTCCAGTGAAGTCTTCACATTACACATGTGCGTGCCAACCCTGGCTGGGGAACCCCATCTGCCCAGATCAAGCCAGGAAACAGGATTACAAGGGGTTCTGTCAATGCCACACAAGTGGCAGGGCCAGCTCTTCCAAGAGCTGCCTCATGTGCAGCACAGACGAAGGATGGACTGATGCTGTCTCCGGCACCGCCCGCGCCAGTGCCCAAGTCACAGTCTTTAGGGTGCCCCTGGTTCCTCTCTCTCCTTTATCACCACCCTCCTGCCTAGCCACGGAGTCCCCAGGTTGGGCCATTTCTCCCTCCACACTATGAATACGTCCTCTCCTGGGCCACTATTCAGTCCTGAGCTGTGAGCCAGACTGAGTTCAAGTCCCTGCTCTACCACTTATTAAGTGGTATGTGACCTTGGCAAACCATTTTACTTCTCTAGGTCACAGATTCCTAATCTGCAAAATGGGAGTAAAAAACAGAACTGGCCTTGCAGGAGTGTCTTGAGGATTACATTTGTCAAGGTATGGAAAGCACTAAGAGCAGAGGAAGTGCCATGGAATTGTGAGCTGTAATTATTGTCACTAGAGTTTCTAGGTGCTTGTTAACCCTCCTCTGAATTACTGCTTTAGCCTCCTAACTGGACCCCTAAATTCTGTCCTGACCTCCCCCTCCAGTCGATTCTCCACCCCCAGCCAGAGCCATCTTTCTAATACAAAATTTTGATTGTGGCACATTCCCTGCTTAGATGCCTTTATTGATGTCTATCTTGCAAAAGGTGTGGATTCGACCCCTTAGCAGGTCACACCGCTGTGCCAGCCTCAACCTGCCCTTTCCCCTATAGTCTCCGCCCCAGCCGTCCTGAACTGCAACTCTTCCTCCATAAACACACAAAATCCTCTCACACATCCCTGACCTGTTACGGTCTGTCCCTGCTGCTGCTGGAAATGCAGTTCCTTCCACTTTTGCTTGGCAAATGTCTACGCAAATTTCAGGCCTCAGTTTAAATGTCATAATCTCGTAGAGGCTTCAGTCACTCACCAGCAGAAAGTAGTTTCGCCCCTGGACATAGCGCCATAGACACCTGGCATTGCCTTCATTAATAAAATTGTTACACATTCTTCTCCACCTCAGCAATTAGTGCCACACATGGCACATAGGAGACACTCAAGGAATCGGGGTTAGATGACTTTTTAATTCTTTTTCTTGCCTCAACCACATGCCCTGTGCCCTGAAGACCAAGTGAGAACTCTCATTCAACAGGAACATTGGGTTTGCCCAACACCGGACGCAGCCATTGACTTGACTGCCTGTATTGGTGCACCAGTTCTGACTGCATGGCTCAGAGGTGTCCAGAAAGCTGAGGAAGAGATGGTTTGCAGCATCCTGCGCCTGAACTCTCTTAGTTCTCCCATCCCCCGGCATGGTATCCTTGCAGTGAATGTCCCCACAGTCTACGGGAATCAGAAACCCAGGCATCGTCTTGGATTCTTCTCTCACTCTCACCACTACATCCAAACCATCAGCAAGTTCTGTCCTTTCTGCCACCCAAACATATCCAAATGCATCCAGTTTCTTCCTCTCTATAGCCACAACCCTAGTCCAGACCACCATATCTCACCTGGACAAATGCCACTGCTTCCTAACCAGTCCTCTGCTTCCGTTATTGCCCTTCTACAGGCCTTGTCACGACCTTGTTTACATCTAAAGTGGGCTGTGTCACTTCTTGGCTTAGAACCCTCAGTGGCTTCCCACTGAACTTTGGATGAGATGCAGTTGCTCTACCCTGGCCCACAAGGTCACAGTCTGGCCCTTATGTCCTCTTCTCACCTCACTTTTTGCCCCCTCTGCTTTGCATATTTGGTCCCAGCCTTCCTGGCCTTCCACCAAGTTCTAAATCACATTCAACTCTTTCACACTCTGGGGCCTTTGCACGTGCTGCTCCTGCAGTGTGAATCCTCCCCACTTGCTCTTCATGCGCCTGGTCTCAGCTGAGACCAGCCTTCCCTGTCTACTTTACCTGAGAGAGGTCGCCCACACCTACGATTTTCTGTATTGACTCCCAAGTTATTTCCTTAATAGCACTTATCATGCTTTCTAATTATTGTATGTGTTAATTTATTTGCTTATTTTTATTGCTCTTTTCTCTTTCCACATAATGAAAATTTCATGAAGCCAATGACCATGCCTGTGTTATCACAGCCTTAGAACTTAAGATCTATACCCAGAACACAGTAGGTGCTCAATAAATATTTGTTGAATGACTATAGAATCTGTGTGATTGTGGAATAAGCAATGTTTTCCGTCCAGTTCTGGATAGAGGGATTCAAATGCCAGTATGAAAACTGCTATAAATATTTGAACCCATCTAAGCATGTAGAGCTGACTTACAGGTAGGACTGCACTATTCTCAGCCTATATCTTTTTTCTTTTGTAGTTTTGACTGCTGCTTCTATTTTAGAAAAATAAATAACAGATAAAATGTTTCAAAGATGTTTTAAGATACCAGTTTTGGAAAATTCATTATTGCTTGATGCTACACACATACACACATATATATACTCACATATTAATTAATTAAAATTAAAGCTTCCCAGGGGAAATAAAAAGAGAGAAGAGATGGTTATAGACACACAAATCGGCCTGAACAATTTAAATGTTACCCATGAGTTTCACTAAAGAGAAATTAAAAGAGACTTCATTCTATTTCTCTAGTTTTTAAAGGGAAGGGAAATGAGATCCATTAAAATTGATTGTATTGCTCAAAGGTGAAGCTGTGCCGATGTGTGTGTGTGTGTGTGTGTGTGAGAGAGAGAGAGAGAGAGAGAGAGAGAGAGAGAGAGAGAGAGAGAGAGATGGGCAAGTCGGGACATGGCGGACCAGTAAACTAAGCGAAACCCCATGGCAAAAAAAAAAACAACCATACAAACTTTACCAACCCAGCATTTAAAGCTGAGCCCCTGGGAGTATCAGATGGGAAATATGAATTTTACGCTGAAAAAAGCTCTGAACATTTGCGATAAATTTGAAAAAAAACGAACCATCTGTTACATAAATTCG